TGTCGCCCTGTCCCCTTCCTCAGCTTCCCGCTACCTCTGTGGTTTGTTTTGTTTTCCATCATCTTTGAGTACTCATTCCCTCGACTGTTCTTGAGGCTCTGACTCATTTAATCTGTATCTCTGGGTCACTGGGTAACCCTCTCCAGATGACAGTGGGCCATGTTCTTTACCTGAGCTGCCCCTTTTCTCTGCAGGCTGGCGTCAGGGGTCTTGACCAGGGGAGCCTGACGGTGGGTAGCACCCACTCCCCTGCTCCTCCCTGGGGCTCTGAGGACCACCTCTTGTTTGATAAAACATGGAGAAGGCCCCCAGATGCCCAGGCTTCTTGTTCCTCACTGCCATGGAAAGCATGACACATCTTAGCTAAAAATAATCGGTCCCATCCTGGGTCCCGGCTGCTGCCACCGTGGGCTTGAGGGCCTCCGGAACGTCTAGGCCTTGTTCAGGGTAACCGGACCATGGCTGGGCCCCAGCAAGCAGCCTCGGGATGGCTCAGCCTCAGCTGTTTTTAGCAGTGGGATTATTGGGAGGAGTAGAAATAGACCTCCACCTTCTGAGCGGCTTCCTCAGCCCACATTCCCAGGCACACTTTGCTTTATTAAAGCTCTCAGCTGTCGCGGGGACCAGGCGTGGAGAAAAGGGGAGGGGGGCGGCCCTCTCCAGCAGCAGGAGGAGAAGGCTGCAGGGTGCAGCCAGCTGTCCCCCTTCCCCCCTGCCCCCGCCATGAGGACATGTGATTCTTATTAGAAGCCGAGTCCCTTACACGTTGTGAGGAAGGAGGCCGCCTGACCATCATAAATCAGGATCCCCTCACTTCCAAATAAAGCAGTCTGCCATCCTAGCCCACAGTCCCTTTAGAGTTGACAGATGTATTTTTTAAATTGTGTTGATCATGTATTTCTTGTGTAATTAAAAAATTATAAAAGGTAATAAAAAATAGAAATCTACTGCCAAGAGATTTGGCTCAGTAAAGACTTCAGAAAGAGTTTTCTAGATAGTGTAAGAATTACAAGGAGAGGATTAATAAATTCTATGTTCAAGTACCAGGAAAAAAATAATAAAAGGTGAGGCTGTCTATACAAAGGAAAAGTAACTTGAAATGGCTCTTAATCTGAAGGTGGTGGGATTCCACCCAGAGAACTTAGCCTGAAGGAGGGACCCTTGCCCTTTTTTGCCACCCTGTTTTGGGGCTCACATGCAAAAGGACCAGGCAATATTGCAGATGAGCTAAAGGTCACCAAGTTCCTAGTGACCTGGCCTGTCTGAGGGGAGACTCTCTGAAGACAGAGTGGGCTGGGCTGATGGGACAAGAAGGGTCAGAGTGGAGGCCTGGAGGAACTTAACAGGAATGGTAACAGTCAAAAGGGGAAAATTGTGCGCCGTGGGTTTATCTGTCCAGTTCTGATGGGCTCTCACCCCCAAGCCCACCTCCTCAAGGTACTTGTCGCGTCTATTTGCCAGCTGCCCAGGGAGGTGGCGTTTTGCAGTGCGGAGGAGCTTGGGTGCCGGGGAGAACCCCAGCTCTAGAGGCCGGTGTGACCGCGAGCTCCGTGCTCTGTGGTTCTCTTTCTTCCTCCGTGAAGCGGGGCGATAGCCCTGACGTGTCGTCATTGGGTCAACACTTGGTGCTGAGAGCCGGGGAAGGCGTTCAGGGGACAGGCCCGAGTCTACCCTCCCCCTCTCCGCTCCCAGACTCGACTCCCCCAGCTCCCATGTGGGGCACGGCTGGGGCTTATTTGGAATGAGGTTCATGCTTTCCTTTCTCTCTGCAGTAATAGGGCTTAGATTTTCTTTCTTTTTTTTTTTTAAATTTTATTTATTTTTGGCTGCACTGGGTCTTTGTTGCTGCGCATGGACTTTCTCTACCTGCAGTGAGTGGGGGCTTCTCATTGCAGTGTCTTCTCCTGTTGCAGAGCACAGTGTCTAGGCATGCAGGCCTCAGCAGTTGTGGCACATGGGCTTAGTTGCTCCGCGGCATGTGGACTCTTCCCAGACCAGGTATCAAACTCATGCTCTCTGCACTGGCAGGCAGATTCTTAACCACTGGACCACCAGGGAAGTTCCAGGGCTTAGATTTTCTACAGTCATGGGCATCCTTTGCTTCGTGGAATAAACGAACACTGGCACAGTTGGTCACGACATTAACAGAAAATGAATGTTGCCGTTTTGTTGTTGTCCGTTGCTCAGTCGTGTCCGACTCTTTGCAGCCCCATGGACTGCAGCACACCAGGCTTCCCTGTCCTTCATCACCTCCCGGAGCTTGCTCAAACTCATGTCCATTAAGTTGGTGATGCCATCCGACCATCTCGTCCTCTGTCATCCCCTTCTCCTCCTGCCCTCAGTCTTTACCAACATCAGGGTCTTTTCTAATGAGTCTGCTCTTTGCATCAAGTGGCCAGTGTATTGGAGCTTCAGCTTCAGCATCAGTCCTTCCAATGAATATTCAGGACTGATTTCCTTTAGGATGGACTGGTTGGATCTCCTTGCAGTCCAAGGGACTCTCAAGTGTCTTCTCCAATACTATAGTTAAAAAGCATCAATTCTTCAGTGCTCAGCCTTCTTTATGGTCCAACTCTCGCATCCATACATGACTACTAGAAAAACCACAGGTTTGACTATATGGGCCTTTGTTGGCAAAGTAATGCCCCTCACCAAATCAGAGCCTAATTGGAAAGTTATGGATTGCTTTCAGAACCACCTGCTCACCTGCTTCATGTGAAATGTTGTGCTTTGTCAGTGTGTGGACATGGCAGGTCCTACAGCCTCAGAGGTTTTCAGTTTTATGGCACCGGTCTACATAAAATGCATCAGGTATCTCTCTCATCAATTCTTTGCTTGAAATTCTATAAAATGAGTTCACTTCAAAGGTGGTCTTGCTTGCCTGCCTGCCTTTTTTCTTTCTTCCTTTCTTATCTGTATTTTATTATGTGTTTTTAAAAGATGAGGACTATTTTAGAAAACATTAACATAGTATCACCTTGAAAATGAACAATAATCCCATATCATCATCAAATATCCAGTCATTATTCACATTTTACCCAATGGGACATACATGTGTATCCTAACAAGGTCCAAGCCAAGCAGTTGGTGGATAGGGCTGAATCTCTTTTAATCCAGAATTCCTCCTTCCATTTCTTTCATGGATTTTTCCCTTGTGATTCATTTATTGAAAAAACTAGACATTGTGTTCAGTTGTGTCCCCCATATCCTGGAGTTTATTGGTTCTATCTTGGGTCTGTTTCTGCTTTCCTGTAAGTTGGTGGGGTCTGAATCAGACCCCAGTGTGATTGCTGGATGGGAATTTTTCCTGGGCAGTGGTGTATATACTTCTTTCCATAGGCATGTCATGTTTTGTCTTATTTTTGTGATACTAGTAGTCATAATTCATCAGGGGTTCATAATTCATATAAAAATGGTGACGTGCCAGGCCTTTTCATTCCTTCTTAATCTACCAGCTTGAACACCTCTGTAACAAGCTTTGTCTGCTTTTTCCATCCCCCACTTTCCCCAGAAGGCAGCCTGTAGCCATAAGTGTGCAGCAGAGAGGCTCTGGGCAAACGTAACCCTTGGCCCAGCCTCAGGCCAGGCCTGGACCAGCCTTGGTCTCACTGCTGGGATTCCTTTCAACAGCAGACCCGCCAGGTGGACACAGCACATTCTAGTCACAGCATCTCCAGAAAGGATGAAAGCATGTCAGAGAGATGTGGTCTTTAAGGTAAAATTATCTGAAATCACCAACAGACCACAGTGGCCTTGTTTCTGTGGATGACAAATCCCAGAAGGCGCTGAGCTCCGAGTCATCTAATCCCCCAGAATCAGATAAAGAAGGGCACTTGATGATATTTCTGATAATGACGAACAAATAATTCCAAGTTTGACAATTCCGTTTCTATAGCAGGTTGCCCAGGTAGTATTCTGACTTCTTGCTGTATTTTCCTATAAAGACAGGCTTACCCTGGATAGGGGTGGGATTTTCTGCGGTGCGGCTTTGAAACCATGCAGACTGAGCCAAGAACTCAGTGGTAGATGTAGCCTGAGCTCTGGGGGGACTGGCGCTGTTCCACTCATTTGTGTTTTCCCAGTAGTTAATGCAGTGCTCATGTGGAGCGCTGCCTGACAAACGTTTCCTGTACTTCAGGGCAGTTTCCTGAGAGGGTGTAGGGGGACTCTAGCCCCTGCCTTATAACCCAGTTCAACTTGAGTCAGGGCTTTCCTGAACCAAGCCTTCGTGCTTCCCTCATGTTGTACTGGGAGATGACTCTTTGGACAAACTCCCCCTTCTCCTGCCAGAGCAGTGGTTAACTTAGTCTCAAATGTAAACCAAAAGCAATCTCTCCCTGTCCCTACAGACACACCCCAGAAAATATGCAGAATAGCTTTATCAAGCCATCTGCTGAGATTTCCACATTGGGCATAAATATCACCAGTGAACCATTTCCACACTGGGAAGAGAAAACAAATACAATGAAACAGCCCCAAACTGAAAACAAAGTTTATTGCATGTGAAAGTAAGTATCAGAGCCAGGAACCATGAAAATACACATTTTGCATATTTTCTGTCCTGTTTCAGAGGAGGGGGCTCACTCTTCACTCTCGTGGACCACCATCTGGGGGGAAGAGGGGCATTTTTAGTTCTGTCTGCAGAGCCTCACTTCCTGCCGCTCCCCCTCCCCACAAGCATCTGGGGTGCTTGCTTGTCTGTCTCAGAGGACACGGGGTACTCCTTGGATCGCAGGCGAGTGAATACACGACTGTCTGCATGGTGGCAGTCCCCCCAGGCCCGAGAGCCTGGTCCTCAGAACAGCCCAGGGGTGGTCTTTCCTAGTGTCTTAGATGGTAAAGAATCCACCTACAATGCAGGAGACCTAGGTTCGATCCCTGAGTTGGGAAGAGCCCCTGGAGAAGGGAATGGCTACCCACTCCAGTATTCTTGCCTGGAGAATTCCATGGACAGAGGAGCCTGGTGGGCTACAGTCCATTGGGTCACAAAGAGTCAGACAAGACTGAGCGACTTTCACTTAGGGACCTACACGCTGTGAGTGCGGTGACGGAGGCTGGCGGCAGAGGGCGCCCGAGAGCCCCGTTCCCACGGAGCGACCGCTCCTTGCTCTCCGGGACAGTGTTTTATTGGGACTCACCGACCTGGGTTTAGCCGGGCTCTTCTCAGCTGTGTGGCTCTAAGTAAACCCCAGATGGACCAATTCTAAACGAGGGTGCTCCAGCGTCCTGTCCATCTCAAAAATGTCTTCATCTCGGGAGGCTTCCTCCCTGGGAGCCACACCTCCCCTCTTCGCTCTGCCCACCCAGCGCCTCAGGACCACCTACCCGGCTGGAGGAGAAGTCTCGGGTCTTCGCGCGCAGCTTATTGACTTGAGATTCGGCAATATCGGCCCGTTCTTCAGCTTCCTCCAGCTCATGCTGAGCTTTTCTGAACTTGGTGAGATGAGCGTTGGCTTGTTCATCCTAAAATAGTCAAATGGGTATGAGCTGTGAACACCTCTCTGGAGCTCCCGGGCAGAAGCAGGGCGGGTGTCGCCCTGGGGTCTCGCTGACTTACAGCCTCCTCCGCCTGCCTCTTGTAGGACTTGACCTTCACTTGAAGTTTGTCCACCAGATCCTGTAGTCTCAGCACATTCTTCCTGTCCTCTTCACTCTTCAAGAGAGAACATGGGATGGCAGGTCGCCAGGAGGGGACAGGGCTGCACAAAGTCCCAGTGCCTGGGCTAAAGGGTTTCTCCCTGTCTTCTGGAGAGGACCCAGGGTGGGGTTCCCCCTTACAGAGGAAATGCCCCTGGGGTTTCCTTCCACGTGCCTGGTAAGTTAACTCCTTGACCCGCCGCTCGTACTTCCTCAGGCCCTTGACAGACTCAGTGTTCTTCTTCTGCTCCCCTTCAAGCTCGGCCTCCAGCTCTCGGATCTGGGGGAGCACTTGGGAAGTTAGTCTGGGGCTGGAGCATAACCCAGGCAGGCTGGAAAACTCCGCTTATTATGCTGGGGTCCCTCCCGCAAGTACCCGTGTCTCCAGCTTCTGGATCTGCTTCTTCCCGCCCTTCAGGGCCAGCTGCTCAGCCTCATCCAGGCGGTGCTGCAGGTCCTTCACCGTCTGCTCCAGGTTCTTCTTCATCCGCTCCAGGTGGGCGCTGGTGTCCTGCTCCTTCTTCAGCTCCTCGGCCATCATGGCCGCCTGAAAAGCACATCACACTGAAGTGTAAACAAAGATCAGGTGCTTGGAACTGTCAAAATCTGGGGACCCGGAGGACTGGAGCCATGCCACTGACAAAGGACACAGGTGACATGATGCCTGAGACCACCATGCCACCATGGGCTCTGGCAAGAGCTGCACCAGGCATGTAAGCTGGACAGTGAGACCTCCAAGGGCTGCATGGGAAATGGTTTCTTCCCTTTCTTAAACTGGCCCCTTTGGGACCGCCCCACCCCAAGGAAATCCCCTCTTTCATTACCAACCCGTGAGTTATAGGACTCCGAGTCTATAACCCAGCATCACGGATGTGGGGTCGGGAGGCTAAGGGAACTGAGGCGCGGAAGGTGCAGGGCGGGGATAATCGAGAGGTAGTGCTCTCCACCAGCAGCAGGTGGCGCTGTGGGAACCGCACGTCCAGGGACCGGCCTCTGGGGCAGGAAGGTGGGTGATGGGGCTGGAAGTAGGCTTTCTGTGAGGTGACCTTAGGTGTGATCCAAACAAGGGGGGGGGGGGGCNTCCTTTTCATATTTGGAATCAGTCATACATAGAAGGGAATAAGAGCGTACCTCTCCCAGAGCATCAGACGTGAACAGAATTCCTTCTGGTCTTTTCCATCCACACTCCCTTATTTTTCATCCCCCCTTATTAATGTGTGGAAGGGCAAACTCTGATTTCTGGGGCGGGGGAATGCTTCTAGAGCAGAACTCACACCACATGTGCCCCGGGGAGGCCCCACCCCGTCTGATGGGAACCAGCTCAGGGCTGGAGAGAGAGGGCCTGGATGAAATGCAGGGCAGGGAGGAGCCTCACGTCCGTGATGGCCTTCTTCGCTTTCTCTTCAGCATTCCTCGCGTCCCTGCTGGCATCCTCAACCTCGCTCTGGAGCTGCGTGAGGTCCGTCTCCAGCTTCTTCTTGGTGTGGATGAGGCTGGTGTTCTAGGGTGCGAGGGACAGGTTACCACCTGCCACGTCCGAGGCCAGGGCCCTCAGGACCCAGGACCCTCCGCTCACCTGGGTGTGCAGGAGCTGCACCCTCTCGTTGGCATCCAGGAGCTCCTGCTCTGCGATCTTCCTGCTCCTCTCCGTCTGCTCCAGGGTGGCCCGTAGCTCCTCCACCTCGGCCTGCAGCAGGTTGGCTCTGCGCTCCACGATCGCCAGCTGCTCCTTCAGGTCCTCCTGGCCACGGAGAGCGTCATCCAGGTGGAGCTGGGTATCCTGGCCAGACAGCAATGGAAGCGTCTGCTTGAAGTTGAGGCCAGAGGACCCTGAGCCTAGCTCATAGCTGTGTGGGTCTGAGGATGGAGAGGTCCCCCACCAGGGAGCCCGCACACCTTCAGCTGCCCCTGGACACTCCGGAGGTGTCTGAGGGTCTCTGCGGCCTGGCGGTTGGCATGGCTCAGCTGGATCTCGATTTCGTTCAGGTCCCCCTCCATCTTCTTCTTGATCCTGATGGCCTCGTTCCGGCTCCGTACCTCGGCGTCCAGGGCGCTCTGCATCGTCTCTACGGTCCTCTGGTAGTTCCTCTTCAGCTGCTCGATCTCTTCATCTTTTTCGGCCATCTTTCTATCGATTTCTGATTTCACTTGTGTCAGTTCCAGCTGGATTCGGAGGATCTTGGCCTCTTCGTGCTCAAGGGCGGCCTTTGAAGAACAAAAACAAAACAGAAATGGTACCAGTGATGGGACAGAGCCTGCTACACTCTTCTCTGGGGTAAGAAAACTCCAATGGAATACTTGTAACTAACTCAACAATATTCAAAATTCTTAAAAAAAAATCCCTAACTTACCTTCAGTGCAGAAATAAAATATTTCATTGCAGTTTGTTTTTATTACACTATGAAACAATAGTAACATTTACATATTTCTTAGGCACTTAAGGCACTTTATAGATATTTTAAATTCATCTCAGTCTTTTGTAAAATCTCATTTTTAGACCTATTTTAAAGTAAGATTTTCTCCAGTAATTTCAAGATCATTCACAGGTATTTGTCCACGTAGTTTGCTAGGAAAAGAACCAACATGAGGACTGTGACTCTGCAGACCCCGAGGGGGCCCTGGCTGGAGCCCTGCCGTCACAGCGTCTGCACCCATACTGCCTCGCTGGCATTCTGCTCACCTCTGCTTCCTCCAGAGCCAGCTGGATATCAGCCTTTTCCAGCTCGATCTGTTTCCTTGATTTCTCCAGTTCATGGATGGTTTTACCACTTTCAGCAATTTGCTCGGTGAGATCTGCTATCTCCTCTGCAAAGAGAGAAGTTTGATTGCTCTTGAACTTCCACACAGGTTTCCACGCAGAGTAAGCACTAGCGAATGCTTTTAACTACTTTATCACAGCTCTAAGGACTCTGCTTGCTGGAGATAAGATACTGGACACAGGGAGGCTCAGAAACAAGCCCTCGGGTGTGGGATGCTTCCTCTGCCTGTGGTAACAGACAGGCAGATGAGGCTGGGTCCTGAAGTCATGGTCCTGCAGCCTCACACTCGGGGCACAGTGTGAAGGGGGATTTTGGATAAACTGCTTACGCTCTAAATTCTTATTTTCTCGTTTCACAGTTTCAAGTTGATCTAAGGCTTCTTCGTAGGCATTTTTCAGTTTGAAAAGCTCGGTGCTCAAGGAGCGGGACTCCTTCAGAGATGCCTCCAGCTCCACCTGGCTCTCCTCACACTTGGTTTTCCACTCAGCGAGCACCTGCAATGCCAGGGAGAAAGGCACCTCTGTTCATGACCCCTCACCTCCAGCTTCTATCTCAGGACCCCTGTGAGTATGAACACTCTGAGAATCAGGGTCCCCTTGGCCATGTCACTTGTCTAGCCCCGTGTTCCTGACTGTTGACTAACCAAGATTTCATTCCATAAATCAATTCAAGATCAGTCACTGATCAGTAACAACTGTCATTTCCAAAAAGCAAGTGGACCCTTTGGGAAGGAATTAGCCAGGCCTCCTTTTCCTACTACAAGAATGGACCTGAACTTCTAAATATTTCATTAAAACCTCTGTTCAAATCAACCTTACTTGTCATACTGAAGGGGAGGCTGCCAGAAACCCTCCCACTAGGACCTGAGTTAGATTTCCACATCAGCCACCAGACAGACCAGCCACATTGGGGACCAAGAATGCTTGGGGCTGGACGACACTGGATGACCCTGGAGGAGGTGGCTTGTCTCCACTGAAGTGTTTGAAGGGGACCCCCACCTCCATCCCACTCCCCTCTGGTTTTGGGGGCTCACCCCAGGTCTCACTGCTCCTGGGGCAGTCAGGACTAGGCCCCCACCTCCTCTGCCCACCCTGCACCTTGTCGAAGTTCCTCTGCTTCTTGTCCAGGGCGGCAGCCAGGGAGTTAGCTCTGTCCACGTCGACCATCAGGTCCTCCACCTCCGCTTGCAGCCTCTGCTTGGTCTTCTCCAAGGACGCGCACTTCGCGTTCACTGCCTCCACCTGCTCCTCGGAATCCTGAAGGCGCTGAGCCAGCTTTTTCCTTAAAACAAATGAGAAGCAGATGCTGTTTAAGCTTCAGTCCTCTTGAACATCACTATTCATCTAGCTGGAACCACTAACCTGTGTGATTCAAACACCACTTTCCTTTCATAAACCCAGGAGAATCTCCTGTCTGCTAAAAATCAGTGATCAGTAGCCTGCCTGCCTGCCTGCCTCTAACCAAGATCACAGTCGTTTGTCTCAATGAAATGTGCTCACAGAAGTTCTCTGCTGGCGCAGAACTGCCTTAAAAGACGGTAACATTCACTCTCGAGCAGTGCTAGGGTCAGTGCCCTCTGTCATCTGATCATTTAGGAGCGTTTGATCATTTGGGAGTGCCAGTTCTTCTGAAGACAGAGTTGCGTACTTGGCCTCCTCCAGCTCCTCCGTGCGCTGGATGGCGTCCGTCTCGTACTTGGTCCTCCACTGGGCCACCTCGCTGTTGGCCTTGGACAGCGCCCTCTGCAGCTCGGCCTTGGATTCCTGCTCCTCCTCGTACTGTTCCCGCAGCAGGTCACAGTCGTGGCGGGAGGACTGCAGGGCGTGGGCCAGGGCGTTCTTGGCCTGCGGAAGTCAGGAGAGAGGAGAGTCCCAATGGATGAATGTTTCAGGCTGTGTCTGTGATGCAGTCCAGATGTGTTCCCGCTGTCATCACCTATGAATGAAGTTGCCTTTTGTTTCTGTAGGTGGTACGTAGAGAGTAGATCAGGGAGCATTCCCTCAGCTATGTACCTTGCTCTCTTCCTCCAACTGCCTCTTGAGCTCTTCTATTTGCTGGGTAAATGCTTGCTTGCTTCTGGAAAGTTGCGATACTGTACTCTCCTTTTCCTCCAACTGACGACTCAGCTCACCTGTGTCCAGAAGGAAAATATTTTTATTTCATCCATCTATTCATTCACTCACACATTCCTACTGTGTGTAAGGCACTGTGCTGAGATCTGGGGGTGAAGGCACGTGTCCATGACAAGGAAGCTAAGCGCATACCCTGGTGAGACACTACTGTAAACTTCTAGAGGGTGCTTGGGGAGCAGGGGGTGTTCCGAGCCCCTCCTCACTCCTCTCTCATTACTGAACTCTCAGTGCTCACCTCCTCCAGGGCACTCTGAATGGCCCTTTGTAGGTTATTCTGATTGCCTCTCTCCTAAAAATCTGCTTCCCTAGAAGTCCTCCCCAAACAAATCCTGCCTTTGGTTTTGACCTGCTGTCTTGGGTAGGTATCCAGGAGGCGCTGCCCCTCCCATTCCCTGGCACTTACCAGCCTCCGTCTGCAGCCGGGACTTCTGGGTGCTCAGCTCACTCAGGTTCCTCTGAATCTCCTCGTTCTTGCCCCGGGCCTCGCTTAACTGGTCCTCCAGGGTGCGGCAGATCTTCTCCAGATTCGCCTGCAGGGTAGGGAAGGGGAGAGAGCTGAGTCAGTGCTCAGGTGTGGAGGGCCAACGGTCTCCTTCACCCGAGGATGAGCCCCCTGCCTCCCACCCCAAACCTTAGACTTGGACACGCTCTCCACGTTGCTGCCCAGGTCGTCGAGCTCCATCTTCAGCTCACTCTTCTCCTTCTCCAGCTTCTGCTTGACCCTCTGCAGGTTGTCGATCTGCTCCCCCAGCTCGGCCACACTGTCCGCGTGCTTCTTGCGAAGAGCGGCCGCTGTGGCCTCATGCTGCAGCGTGGCCTCCTCCAGGTCCCGGCGCAGCTTCAAGAACTCAGCCTCGCGCTTCTTGTTCAGCTCGATCTGGGTGGACGTGACGCCCCCCGCCTCCTCCAGCCGCTCGCTCAGCTCCTCCAGCTCCCGGGCGTAGTCACTGCGCTGCTTCTCCGTTTTGGCGCGGGTCGCCCTCTCGGCCTCGATCTCTTCTTCCAGCTCCTCGATCCGGGCCTGTGCGGGCAGGCCATCCCCGGGAGAATCCTGACTCCCAGTGTCAAGAACAGGCTAGTTTCCCCTCCCATTAGACCAACCAAGTCTTGGGCTGCTCCCGGAGCAATACCAACACTGTGAATTTCCCCTGACATGAGCCTTTCCTGCCTCAACCTCGGCATTATCCTGCAGCGGCTGATAATGAGTATCCAACACTCTGACTAGGGGTTGATATGAAATACTTCAATTACGTGTTTTGTTTAAATTATGGAAGAACTGTTCATTGCTACTGTCAGTCTGGACAGAGACAAGAGGCCCACGGTCCTGCCCCTTGCTCTGATAATGCACAGCAGACTTGCCAGCTCACCGTGTGTGACCGAGTGTGAAAGCAAAGTCCCAAGCTTTTCACCCCCTACCTGAAGCTCTTTGATTTTCTTCTGAAACTGCAGGCCCAGAGTCTGCTCATCTTCCACTTTGCTTTGCAGCTGACAGTACTCAAAATCTTTCCTGTGAAGGGAAACGCACAACGTGTGAGGACCAGACACCCGGGCACTGGAAACCTGAGCACAGCGGTGTCAGGGCGCACTTCTTGAGCCGCTCATCCAGCTGTTGCTTGTCGTTCTCCAGATCCAGGATGGACTCCTGGGCGAGCTTCAGGTCTCCCTCCAGCTTCCTTTTGTTCCTTTCCAGGTCTACACGGAGCTTCTTCTCTTGTTCCAGGGAGCTTTCCAGCTGCAAAAGGCACCGTCTCCTTTTAAGAACAAATGCTTTGCACCATGAGTGTCCCAGGGGCTCTTCCTGCCCTGAACCCAGGCCTCCCAATTGGCATCCTTCACTCACATCATCCACCTGCTGTTCCAGTTTGCTCTTGATTTTGCTTAAAGAATTGACTTTGTCCTCTTCCGCTTGCAGGTCATCCAGGGTCTGCTGGTGGGCCTCCTGGAGGGCCTTCTTCTCTCTGGTTAACTTTGCAATGGTTTCATCCAACCCGGCGAGTTCTTCAGTGAGGTTTTTAACCTAAGAAGATGCCACAGGCAATTATAAGAAAAGATCAAGTTGGGTTTGTACTGACCATATCAGTGGAAAGACCTACAAGGGTGTACCTTATTCTCTGTGGCGTGTTTCTCCTTCTCAACCTTGGCCAGTGTCAGCTCAAGGTCATCTATGTCTTTCTTCAGTTCCGAACATTCGTCCTCCAGTTTCCTCTTCTTGGCCGTCAGCTCAGCATTCATCTCTTCCTCATCCTCAGCTCTCTCTGTCACCTCCTTGATCTTAGCCTCCAGCTGGAACTTGGCCTTGATCAGCTGATCACATCTTTCCTCTGCATCCAACAAGTTTTCACTTTCCTTTAAAAAAATAAAAAGAATCATGATTTCCTTTAATGGTTTAAAGGTAAAGTTTGTGACATTCCAGTATTTTGTTGAATGAGTGAATTTGAACAAACTCCAGGAGATGGTGAAGGACAGAGAGGAGCCTGGCGTGTTGCAATCCACGGGGTCGCAGAGAGTCAGACACAACTCGGCAACTGAACAATAACAGGTATTTTGTTATAAATAGAATCCTTTATGAAACATACCCAGTAAAAAGCAAAAATCCCACCCAAAATCCAGTTTTCTTAGATAATCAAATCTAGGAGAAAAAAATTTAAATTCCTAGACACATACAGCTTGTACTTGCAGCTGCAGGTCATTCTTCTCTTGTACTAGAGTCACCAGTTTTTCCTCCAGTTCCTTCCTTTTTGCCTCTGACTTGGCCAGTTCATCCTTGGTTTTCTGGAACTCTTCCTTCATGGTGGCCATCTCCTTCTCTGTCTCTGCACTCTTGAGAAGGGGCTTGATTTTGAAAAAGAGTTTCATCCAGGGCCAGTGCTTGACATTCATGAAGGCTCGGATGTTGTACTGGATGCAGAAGATGGACTCCCTGAAAACACAACATCAGTTATTTCTGAGAGAGGCTCCCCACTTCTCCCAGAGAGCTCAGATCTGAGCACAGACCCCGCTCCACCTTCTCTGCACCATCTTCTGGAATTCCACGCGCATGAGGAACCCTCTGCACACGGCCTGCGTCCGGGTGATCAGCTTGGCCAGGCGGTCATCCCGCATTTCCTCCAGGGTTCCCAGCAAGCCGGCCTTGAAGAACACCTTGAGGCAAGACGGATGCCCTGGGTCAATTTTCTGGAGGAGTCTCTCAGGGACCACAGGCCAGTGTCTGTTGGAACTGACACAGTACCTTGGTGTGTCCAAACTTGTACTGAGTGTGGTCGATGTCAATGGATGCCAGCAGCTTTTCACACGCCTTCTTGCTGTCGATGAACTGCCCCTCGGGGATGGCACTGGCATTCAGCACTCGGTATCTGCCATGTGGACACAGAAACATCATAGGCTGTTAGCAAAGACATGAACTTTGGAAGCCAGTTCAGGCCTCTCTTCCAAGAGGCAAGAAGGCCAAGGTCCTGAGAGGGAAGGAAACTTGGCCTTGATCACAGGCCAAAAAGTGGCCTGAAATCTAGGCCTCCTGACTCTTCTTTGCCATGTCCTTTTCTGTCACGTTGTGTATCAGAGAAGGCCCTGAGAAAGTGTGGGATAAAGAAGCATGTATACCTTGACCATATGATAGTTAAATCATTTTACATGGAGCCCACAGCTGTTCAGTATTTTTCCCTCTCAAATTCTAGCATTTACACACCTCCTCAAGAAACAAATGGAACATTTCTATTACACATGCATGTTCAGTTCCTAAGTCATGTCCAACTCTTTGCAACACCATAGACTGCAACCTGCCAGGCTCCTCTGTTCATGGAATTCTCCAGGCAAGAATACTGGAGTGGGTTGCCATGCCCTCCTCCAGGGGATCTTCCCCACCCAGGGATCAAACCCGTGTCTCCAGCAATGGGCAAGCTGGTTCTTTACCGCTGAGCCACCGGGGAAGCCCTCTTACTACGCACCTCTGTTTGAAGTCCCCATAGAGGATCCTGTTGGGGAAGCCTTTCCTGCAGATGCGGATGCCCTCCAGCACGCCGTTACACCTCAGCTGGTGCAGGACCAGGCTGTGCTCCATGGCGCCTGAGAAGAGAAGCAACGTCAGCTTCACACAGACTCTGCTAAAACCTGACCTGAGCACTGCCTCCAGAGCTGGCGTGTGTCTCACCTGGGGTTTTGGTCTCGTTGGGAATTATACAGCGCACAAAGTGAGGGTGCGTTGTTCTTAAATTTGACATCAACTTGTTCAGGTTTTCCTAAAAGAGAAAGATTCAATTTGACAGTGAGCAGACTGTAGGCTTTTATAAACACAGAGATACAGTGTAACAAAAAAAGATATTTTAAACTTCTTGTGAATTCTAATAAAGGTCTTATTTAACTCTTTTCAAAAGGTCTTTCAATAGTCCATTTGGCAAGAAGTGTAGGCAAGTAACTGATAAAACAGTCTTTTGCTTCACAGTAGCCAGAGACTAGCCAAATACAGGCTACCTGCCGAGTTAACTCAGGGGACCTATCCGGCTGTACTGGGCACCTAAGATGCTACCGCCTTGTGTTTCAGGCAAGTCAGAAAGTTCATTCTGAGGACTCGCCTCCCAGACCACCCAGCCAGTTGCATGTAAGATGGGGTTAAATTCTGGTCCTCCATTTGTTAGCACTCATCTACATGTCATACCACCACTCTCCTAAGTAACAGTAAGCAGATTAAGACCACATCACTATTTTTTAATAGACCAAGTTCAGCATCTCTACATTGCTCATTTTAAGATGACTTAAACCAATTACAAGCAAATAAACTTCTATCTTTCTTACCCTGAAAAGGGCAGAGACGGTTTGGAAGGAAGAACCCTTTTTCTTGGCAACTTTCTTCTTTCCACTGTCAGCTGAAAGAAAAGATGGTGTGTGGTGTTAACAGCCCTCCAGAGCTGTTTCCTTTGTGGGCTGAGTTGGGGGAGAAGTGTGGATTCGAGGCAGCCTGGGAGTCTGTTACCGTCTGCGGTGGTGAAGGTGGCGTAGAGGTGCGCCAGGAGCCTGTTGGAGGACTTCTGGTACAGTCCAACCACCGTCTCGTTCAGAGGGTCCTTGTTCTTCTCCAGCCAGCCCGAGACACTGTAGTCTACGGTGCCCGCATAGTGGATCAGGGAGAAGTGGGCCTCGGCTCTGCCCTTGACCACCTTGGGCTTCTGGAAGTTGGCAGACTTGCCCAGGTGCTGGTCATACAGCTTGTTCTTGAAGGAGGTGTCCGTGGCCTTGGGGAACATGCACTCCTCTTCCAGGATGGAGAAGATGCCCATAGGCTGAACCAAGGCAGAATGCACACGGGGTGAGTGAGTGTGCGCTGCAGTGACAAGCATCAGGGCTGTGAGGGGCGGTTAATGAGCACACATGGCAGGTACCTTCTCAATGAGCTCGATGCAGGCAGCCAGGTCCATCCCGAAGTCGATGAATGTCCACTCAATGCCTTCCTTTTTGTATTCCTCCTGCTCCAGCACAAACATGTGGTGGTTGAAGAACTGTTGCAGTTTCTCATTGGTGAAGTTGATGCACAGCTGCTCCAGGCTGTTATACTAACATCAAAATACAACGTCCACACGGAAGGTTAGACTGCTTTCAAAGTCAAAGACCCACCAACCTTCCTCCTCCTCCTCGTCTCAGGCTACCAGCAGTTCAACTACACTTTCAGGTGTGGTCACATTCTTGGGCTCAGCTCACATCACGTCTTAGAGTTTTCTCCAGAACTCGAGCTGGAAGATACCTCTCCCTCTCCTAAGTCCACGGGATGGGCCTCTCCTGGGCCCTGACCACAGTTTGCCTTATCTGTATAGTTGGTCTTCTGTGTACTTACATACTTCTCATCATCATCTACAAACAAGCTCATCTTTTATTCATCTGCAAGTCTTATACTTGGTAGACATTGACAACATGCTCTAATGGGTGTACATGCTTCTACCTGACCCACCCTCCATCTAGTGCTCCTCCCAGAGATGATACGGGGTGACAGGTGGCTGCCTGGACATCTTTCCTGTGATCCTGAGAACCAGCCCCCCCACACAAAGCCACCTGAATATTGGGAATGCAAACCTCGAAGATCTCAAAGCCTGCAATGTCCAGGACGCCAATGAAGTGCTGCCTCGGCAGCTTGGTGTCCAGCTGCTGGTTGATGCGGGTGACCATCCACAGGAACAACTTCTCGTAGACGGATTTGGAGAGGGCGTTCACAGCGTGGTGCACCTGTGTCAGGGGTCAGCACCTGTGTGGAGTCTGTGGGCAGTAGCCATCGGTGCCTGCATCCCTTCCCAGCCTCCTGGTGGTCACTTACCTGATCCACGGTCTGGCCCTTGGTAACATACTCATTCCCAACTTTGACTCTGGGGAAGCATAAAGCTTTCAGGAGGTCCGAAGAGTTCAGGCCCATCAGATAGGCTGTCTTGTCAGCCACTAGCAGGAAAGAAGGCCAGTTACCAGGGAAACCCCAGATAAGTGGCACAGCCAAAGAACCCCTCTGAAAATCCTCCAGATGTTTCAAGGCTCAGCTCAGCTCGTCTCCATGTGTTTACATTACGTGACTCTAAACTGCTCACCTGTGGGCACTAAGTCACTCAGAGAATATTATGGGCTTTGTGAAAAGGCAGCACTGGGTTCCAGAAAAACCTGGTCACTCCTCACTGTGTCTGAAGCAGGACCACTCGAGTGACTCAGCAGACAGGGCAGTAGCCTGTCAGCATCTGAGTCCCACCGAGGTTCATCTCTCCAGGGGGAGGAAGGATTGGTCGCTTTCAAGGGAGGCCCCCAGCTCTGGCGCATACCCCAGCAGGTGATGTGGTACCTTCCGTGCCATCCGGCTCTGCCTGCTCCTCCCGCTGCTTCTGTTTGAACTTCATGTTCCCGTAGTGCATCACGGCGCCTGTCAGCTTGTAGAGCCCAGACTTCTCCTCGGGGGTGAAGCCCAGGATGTCAATGGCGCTCTGGCGTTGCAGGAGAGCGTGTCAGCCGGCTGACCTCAGTGATGGAGCAGGAGCCCCCCACCACACACACATCCTTCTCCCTGACCTACTTACATCCGTGGCCAGCAGCTCCTCGGCGTCATCAATGCTCGCCACCAGGATCTCACCCTGGCTGATGAAGGGGTAGTCGTAAGGGTTGGTTGTGATGAGCAGCAGCTCTGCAATGACGACCAGTTAGAGGGGGTCACATGGATGCAAAGGAAACATCCACCTGGGGCCAAACAGCCTCTCGTACTCAGGCTGCGGCTGAATAGAAAGCCCAGGGAAGACTCTGCACCCACCCTGGCCACACACGGCACAAACTCCAGAGAGAACAGTTGAACGCTTTTGCTTTGTGTGCAGACAGCACAGATCCATGTCGGTTAGGAAAGATTAACCAGGAAAACAGGCTGTGTGCGCGCCAGAGAGCCCTCTGTGGACACGGAGAGCCCCTGGAGGGAAGCCCAGGTGGTTTGGTAGAATTGTCGTCTTTTCCAAATCCTGGTGAGAGCTGCAGCCTGTTTCCAAGATTGGGCCCAGAATGCTGAGCAGACATAGGCAGAGAGCAGAGAAGGGCATGGGGCCCCTGTTAGGTGCCAAATGGAAAGCGGGGTGGACATCCACCAGCTGGCGGTTCCTCTGCCTTGGCGCGGGCCTCACAGCATTTGGTGGAAGGTTGGTTTTGCGGCTGACCGCCAGGGGGCATCAGAGGACCACTAAACGCTAAGTCATTCAGCCCGTTTCCATGAACCAGAGCTGAAGGCAATTGTGCCTCATTCTTTTTCTGTCCCCTGGATTGCATTTCTCAAATTGGCACATCACTGTCAAAACAGCCACACCCCATTTCTAAAACAAATTTCCTCTGCGAGGAGGCACGACTGTCTTCCGTCCGCTCACCTAAGAGCTGATAGGCCCCAGACCAGCCCCTCTGGGGGCATTCTCACCTATGAGCTCGGGCTTCTTATTGGAAAGAATCTGGTAGAAGATGTGGTAGCTTCTCTCAGCCTTCAGCTGGAAGGTCACTCTTGATTTTTCCAGCAGATCTAGGAACGCAAACACAGGAGTGTCTTCCAAACTGTTCCCCCGATGTCCCAAAACATCTGATCCTAGGAGTCTACTTACATGTTTCAATATCTGCAGAGGCCAGCTTCCCCGTGGTACCAAAATGGATGCGGATGAACTTGCCCTGTCGGGGAAGGGAGACCAGGTGACCTGACTGCAGGTGTTCCTACCCACTTGGGGAGTGGGACAGAGCCTTCTTCCCCAGGAACTTGCAGTTAAGTGTCTTTATCGCCTCTTCCCTGCTTTGCTGTGCCCTCCTCCATCCCCTTGTTCCACACCGCATTCACACGCTACCCCAGCCAGTCAGCAGAGCCACGTTCTGTTCAAGATGCAAATCAAACCGTATCACTTCCCTCTAACAGGATCCTGACTTCTGGAATGAAACCAGACCCTTCTCCTGGCCTGCGTGCTCCCAGGCTCCAGGTCCCTTCCCACTGCCCCGCCTCACCTCGCAGAGCCTGCCTCATTCAGACCCCCTGGAGATCCCTTGACTCCACCAGTCCCCTCCCTGCCTCTGCGACTGTGTCCCTCCTCACCCTGTGGATCTCGGGTTCACGGCCAGCGCCCCTGGGAGGGCTCCCCTGCCAGCCCCGTCTAAAGGACACCTGGCCCCCTTTAACGCCCCGTCTATGAGGAACTGTCAGACTGTCCTGTGGGCTTGTCTCCTCCTCCTCTCACTATCCACCCCCAGGGCCGCAGGTTCCTGGAGGCAGGGGTCGTGCCTCCTCGCTGGCCTTGCAGGACACACCAGCTTGACCCAGCAGACTCACAAAGCGGGACGAGTTGTCGTTCCTCACAGTCTTGGCGTTCCCAAAGGCCTCCAGCAGCGGGTTGGCGCTGATGATCTGGTCTTCCAGCGTGCCCTGGAGCAGGGAGTCAGGGCAGGAAGAGCCCCGTGTGAGGGTGAGCTCCAATGCCCCTCTGCCCCAGCTGATGCCAGTCCCTCCCCCATCCCCTGCTTTCCAACCTAGGGCCCAACCACATCATCAGCACCTCACTCAGAGCCCTGTTGCCATGTCATGTTTGGGTCTGGTTGGGTATCTTGACATAAACCTCCTTTAACCCTTCAGGTTCTCCATTCTCCAGGTGGTGAGGTCACCTGTGTTCACACCATACTGCTGGGATATATTCGTTTTGAAAGGCAAGACGCTACACTTCTCTCCAGGTGGTGTGTGTGACTCCGGTGTATGTCAGACTGACTTTTCTTAGCGGAGCCTTAGAACTTGTCTTCTTGGCAATCACAGGATCCGGTCCTGTGAGATCACCATGCGCTGGGTCGTCTAGAAGAGCCGGCTGTCCTGTGAGACCTTCAACCCTGCCAGCTCTCCTTCCCCGAGGAGATGGGTATCTCCCACCCCACACACACCCTGGGCCTCCTCTCTCTGAAGACACGCGTTGGCAGCGGAAGCAGAGCCAGCCTGTCTCCTCCCCTTACCCTCATCTTGGAGTCCTTCTTCTTGGCGAGGTCTCCAGTTGCTGCAATTGTTGCAAAGTACTGGATGACCCTTTTGGTGTTCACAGTCTTTCCTGCCCCGGATTCTCCACTATTCAGAGCGATTGAAAGAGGGAGAAGGAGAAAGAGTCCTGTGAGTGTAAACAGCCTCCTCTGCCACATCAGATGTGAGATTCCCAACAAAGAGGAGACCACCCGGAGAGTCAAGGGCCCTGGGAGGTCGGCACCACTGAAGAGCCTGGACGGGGAGCCCTGCTTCCCGAGGCCTCATGCGCCTTCTGGCCTGTCCCCCGTCCATCTCTGCATCACAGACTTTGTCCAGTACTTTCTCATTGACAGAACAAAGCAAGTGGCATCTTCCCCTTCTGCCCTGGGGACAAAGAGCCACAGCTGTGAAAACACTGTACACCCTGGATACTCACGTGATCAGAATAGACTGGTTTTCACGATCTGCCAAAGGGAAAAATAAAATAGGGTTGATGGTATTATAAAATGAACTTTCTCAACTTAAATGTCCATCTACAGAGGAGTGGATTAAGAAGATGTGGTACCTACATACAATGGAATATCACTCAGCCCTAAAAAGGAATGAAATGATGCCATTTGCAGCAACATGAATGAACCTAAAAATTACCATACTAACTGAAGTAAGCAGACAGAAAGACAAATACCATATATCACTTATGTGTGGTTATATGATACAATTGAACTTAGTTAGAAATTAGAAACAGACTCACATAGAAAATAAACCTATGGTTACCAAAGGGGAAGAGGGGTGGGGGAAGAATAAATCAGGATTTGGGGATTACCAGATACAGACTACTATATATAAAATAAATAAGGTCCTACTGTATAACACAGGGACTGTATTCAATATTCTATAATAAATCATAATGGGAAAAAAATCTGAATATATATATATATTATATATATGTATCTAAATCACTCTGCTGTAAACAAGAAGTTAACACAACACTGTAAATCAATTATATTTCGATCAAGAATTTTTAATAAAAATAAAAAGAGCCCCCAGTTCTCCGCGTCTCCAGCAGTCAGAGTTCACTGCACATGGCTCTGTTTCGTCCTATGTGGGAGCTCAGAGAGACTCCTCCTTGAGAATATGGATCAAAGAGGTTAAGCCCCTGCTTACAGCCAGCCACTGGCTGCCCATCGTATTAGGTTGAACCATATGAAACTATCAGTCTTTGTCTTGGGCCCACAAAAACGTCAGTTTCACATGAGGTAACCCATGCTTGCATTAAATCCAAGCTTCTCACCCAGGCCTGCAAGGCCCTAAAATCTCTGGCCTCTTTCTTTTTTTTAAGCACCTCCACCCAGTTGTGTGGAGGCTGCACACTAGAGGGGCGGCTGATTCCAGACTTGCAGCCTCCCTGAGCCTTGCCTGCCTCTCCAGGCTTCCCCCTTAGACATCTACCTGTGAGCATGAACTGATAGGCGTTGTCAGAGATGGAGAAGATGTGGGGCGGGGCCTCCTGGCGCTTCTTGCCCCGGTAGCCCTCCACCACCTCGGGGTTGTACACCGGCAGCCACTTGTAGGGGTTGACGGTGACACAGAAAAGGCCTGAGTAGGTCTGTGGGGGCGTAAAATATACAAATTTATGTACACATGGGTGTGTGTATATAAAACCCTCCCCCTTTGTTATTTCACTTTTCTTTCTGAGAAACTTGTAAAGGAAGCAAGATCCAATTTCTCTCTATGGGTGAGGCAGCTGAGACTCAAGGGGTGCAGTGACCATCCGCAGCTGCTGGGTGACAGCACCAGGACCCGGCCTCAGCCCCACCCCTCCTCCGGTCCCCTCCTGGGCCCACTCATCTCTCACTTTCTCATCCTCCATCACTCTCGTCTCCCTTTCTTCATTCCCCCTCTTTTGTTGAATGGCCTCAGTTCAGTTCAGGCGCTCAGTCGTGGCCGACTCTTTGCGAACCCATGGACTGCAGCACGCCAGGCCTCCCTGTCCATCACCAACTCCCAGAGTTTACTCTGGGAGTTGGTGATGCCATCCAATGGCCTCGTCAAACACTAATCCTTCTAAAGCCCACCCCGCCATGAGCATCTCCCCCCCACCCCACCCAGGCGCCTGCAGACTCGGGCACTGACGTAGATCATCCAGGAGGTGTAGCGGTCCTTGAGGTTGTACAGCACGGCCGGCTCGTTCAGGTGCGTCAGCATGGCCATGTCCTCGATCCGGTCGAACTTGGGGGGGTTCATCGCGTACACGTCCTCTGGCTTCACCACCAGCGTCTGCAAGGGAAGGGGGACAGTGCGCACCTGGGCTTCTCTGTGCGCAGGTGTGTCTCCCACGCCCAGACCAGGAGGGGGCGCTGGAGGCAAGGCCCGTCTGACAGGGAGGGAGGCGGGGCTGGGGCGGCTCCTGGTGGAGGAGATGGAACGGGGTTTGGTTCTGAGACTTGCGCTTTCGTTTTTTTCCGTCTCCAGTGGCCTGAGGTGAGGGAAGGGTAACAGAAAGGAGAGGAGGGTCTCGGGGGAATTCGGGGAGTAGGAGACAGGCCCAGGAGCCAGCGGGAACTCCTCAGCTGGGTCATGCTGGCTGGGCCAAAACCCGGTTCCAGCGGCTCAAGGGTCTTTGCCGTCTACTTAGAGGGCACGGCAGGTGGATGGCGTCCCCGAGGGAGGGACAGAGAGGAGGAGGCCGGTGGCATGGACCTCCAGGCCAGCAGTCCAAGTCATCCTGAGCTCCCTGAAAGCAGCTCCCAGCCCCCACCCCCTGCATCTCGCCCGTTCACCCCCACCTGCCTGAGCTGTGGAAGGGCCCAGTGCCCGGGGCGGGGCGCCTTGGAGGACCTGGCATCGTGGCGTGGAGCTCACCTTCCGCTCTCCCACCCTCCACTCACCCCCTTCCTGTCTGAGACCTCCATTGCAGACAGTGGTTTTCCCGGCCCTGCCTCTGAGCCAGGTGGTGGGGAAAACCTGCCTTCAAGCAGGAGTTCACTAAAACCATCCAGGCCTCAGCCCTCCAGTGAGGTGAGGGGCTGGACATCTTGAACTGTCCCCCACCAGGTCTAGCTTCTGTGCTCCCTGCAGCCTCGGACGCCATTCCCCACTCCATCATTTGAAATGTACCGAGAGCTGCCCTTGAGCTTCAGGACTTGGAAGGTGGTTTCAATGGGTGGTTTCCATGCTGTTTTCTTTCACATCCAACCCAATGATACTATTTCCTTTACTACTCTCATTTGGATCCCCACCCCCATTTTATTTTATCCTTTCTTAGTAGATTTCTGGATTCTTCTGGTCTAAATTCCAGACAGTTGGGATGTCCAGAATTCCTCCCAACACCCCCATGCTAGCCTGGGCAGAAAGGAATGGGCTACACTGCTCATTGCCTTCATGATACGGGGACGCTGCTACTTCAGTCAAGCTTGTGGTCCACTAGGGTCCCTGATCCGCTTTCCTTACTTCCTTACATACTACCACCAGAAGAATCAGGGGGAAACCTAGGCTCCCAAAGGAGAGTGCTCTGAAGGAGGCCGTCATCTTGTGGGACTCCCAGCTCCACACCCTTGGGACACACACGGCTGGTCCCCGCTGACCTAGAGTGACATGCACATCAACAAAAGCACTGGAACATGAATTGCTTTGGCCAGCCGCAGGCAGATGGTTCTCCGACCATGCAGCCTGAGGCCAGTGTTCACTCTGCTTTCTCTGAGGACACCTAGGAGGTATGCACATGTGGAGAGGGCCAGGTGTGGGGCAGACGCACAGACTGGGCAGCCAGGGGAGCAGACAGAGGGCCAGAGGCTCGCAGAGGGAGTGGATGGGGCTTACCCTGTTGTCTTCAGTTTCCACCGTGACCTTCCCATCCTGGGTGCTCTTAATTCTCCCCTTGGCATACTCTTCCTTAGAGTCAACGACGAAGCAGTAGGTCTTGGCATCAAAGGGCTGGTTCTGAGCCTCGATCCTCTCCTTTTCCGACTTCCGGAGGAAGGGAGCGGCGATGCCAAACACTTCCATTTCGGTGTCGCTACTCATGGTGTTGGCTGGGGGATGAACCCACCAGGTCAGCCCCCTACCCCTGACTCCAGCCCTGCCCCCATGGGAGCCCACCAAGGTGGGCCGGGAGCATCTGATTTTTCCCATCCACCCCCTGGGAAAAATCAAATGCACACGTATTTATTGTGCCGACTCTGTGCAAAGGGCATGGAGTGGATGCTACCCAAGCTCCCCCATCCAGCGGGGCTCAGACGGGTGAAGGAACCCGAGGGAGGGGGCAGCTCTTGGGACTCAGTTTCCTTTTCTGAAAAGCCTAGGTGTTGCCAAGGGGAAATTTAAAAATAAACACCATCAGAAATAAACACCATTCTTCAAAGAGAGTGTGCTAAATGGCAAACAGCTAAGGAATCTGGGGACTGTTTTAATTCAAGGTGGCTACCTCCTCACACGAGGAAACTGGCTTTTGCTTCCTTCAGTTCTGTTCTGAGAACAGAGGTGGCATCTGACTTCAGCACCTGCTGAGACCCTCTGCCCAGCCTGCCCTGTCCTGGTCTAAGCTCCACGGGCTCTTGCCCCCCAGGCCACTGGAAGCAGAAGGAACTGGGCCCTGGAGACTTCTGAGGCAAGGGACCCAACCAGCTTCCTCACCTGAGAGTCACACCCGCAGGAGGACAGCGGACAACAGCAGCCGTGGGAATCAGACCTGTGGTAAATATGCAAAAAGAAAGCTCAGGACACCCAAATGTGTGGTTCAGTTCTGAATCGGGTCTTGAATTAACCAAATAAGGGGAAAGGACTAATAACTTTAATAGAGTCTTACCCTGGAGACAGGATAAGGGGAAAGGACTAATAACTTTAATAGAGTCTTACCCTGGAGACAGGCTGGAAGAGCAGATGGGATGCGACCTACAAGTGATTCATAAAGGTAGTCAAACCCCCAGCTGCCCCCAAACCTGGCTCCTGCCAGCCCACTAACACACCCTCCTCAGCCTGCATGCAGTGCCTCTCCTTCAGAACAAGGCAGGGACAGCATCTCTGTTGAAAAGGCCTGTGGTTCCAGGCTAGGATCAGGCCCCCTCTGACTTCTGCGAACAGGGAGAAGTCTCAAATTGGCAAACTGACACAAGCCATTGAGGCCTTGAGATCATGGGTGCCCGCTCACCAGGCACACAGCGCAGGTGGGGAAGGTGAGGGTGGGGGCGGGGGGCGGTGACCCCACAGCCTCTGCACAGATCAGAGGGGAAGAAAGGGGTCGTCAGGCCACACTGACAGACTGAGGTCCCTGGAGCATCCAGAGGGATCCTGCCCAAGGGGGCCCTCAAAGACAAAGTCAAGGGGAGCTCAGGGAGGAGGAAGTGGGGTGCGGGAGGTGGAGACCCAGCTCCACCTCTAACTAACCTCACCACAGCCAGGCAGGGCTGCACTGGGTGGTCCTCTGAGCCACACACGGAAGAGAGCCGCGCAGGGCGCCCAGACTCCTCTGCCCACAGCAGCGCCAGGGGGCTGCCGCTGTGGCTTTTATAGCCTGTCCCCCCACCACTCATTCCTGCTCTATATTTGGAAAGGGAATGACCGATGCCACAAGCTGAGGGCCGGCTCCCCTCCTCACGTTTTTTTGCTGTTGCCAAGGGCGAGGTATATATAGAAATGAGCAGCATCCATAACCATTCTCCAGCTGGAGAAAGTTGGAAGTTTGAGATGCCTTTCTCTGAACCTGGGGCCAGGGCGTCTTCACTCGGTGTGAGGGGCGGCCTCACGGGGGTCCGGCCTAAACTCCATCCTGCAGGCGCCACATGCTTGAAAATCAGGGTGCATTCTGGGGACAGAAATCTCATCATGTGGGGAAAAGGAGTGCAACTTGAGGACAGAAAGATGAAAATCCTCTTGGCATTTTGGGCAAGACTTTCGTCACAACACAGGGTAGTGACAGAATTGTGTGATTGTAAAACTTGTGCCAGGAATGACAACAACAATTATAATCCTCCTCCTTCTCCTTTCACTGTGTAACTTTCTGTCCCATTAGTGTCACTGTTAATTTAATCCTTTCTTAAGCATCAGTAGGACCAACAAGTAAATTAATGACAGGGAGCCACCCTGCCAGACAGTATCCACAGCAACAGCTGCTTGAGGACCTGTTGTTATTAAGACACATGACCAATTAGGAAAGACCAGCTGCTGGCCAGGGTGGGGGTTAGGGGGCGGCATGCCTGCAGAGAAACAGGGGGATGGGAGGAGAGGGTCCAGCAAGCATGAGTCTTTCTAAATTGGGGTTGAAGGAACAAAGCCAGGAGACCAGAGGTGTGACTGAAGCTCGGCCCACTCCTGTCTGACTTTATGTCTCCTTCTTTTCTCCTTACCTTTCCTGACAAGCCTTTGGGAGGGTGGCTGGTGGGCACCCCGTGGTCATTAACTGTCAGCAGTTCCCCCTTGAGAGGAACAGCCGCCCCCTCCCAACACACAGCACCCGCAGAAGTGGAAGAGGTATGGGTGGGGATGGGGCAGTGCAGGGCTGTGGACCCCTAAGATGCAGGAAGATACATTAATCATCCACTGTATGCTGGCCCCGGTGCAGAGTACCTCAAGAGGGCACAAAAGAAAGGGAGATGCAGCCTTTACCTGTAACGGTTTCCAGGATAATGGGTAGTCAACCGTTTTTGAGATTCCAGTGATTTTAAGTCAAAGTACACTTGATGAACCCGCCTGCTCTGTGAGGGCCAGGCAGGTGTGTGGCTGCAGGAAAAAAAAAAAACAAAAAACAGGAAGCCTGAACCCCCCAGCCTGCTGCAGGCTAGCTGCATGCGCACCCCCACCCCCCTGCTCCAGCTGGGCTGAGACCCCCATCCCTAGAGACCTTCCACATCCAAGAAGAGAGCCCAATGCTCCTAAAGGGTCTGTCTGTGTCTAAAAGGGGATGGTCTCCTTGAGGTCCCATCCTGCCTGCCCAGCAACACATCAGAGTCCACATCTTTGTCCACTGGCTGGCCATCTCCTTGGGAGGCCTGGTCAAGACAGGTACAGGTCACCTGCAAAGCAGAGGTGTGAGCCAGCCCTGTGGGCTGAGGGACAGTGCGAGGGGCCCTGGCCACATCTCAGGCATTGATGGAGCAGGGCAGCCCCGGGGAGGGGTGGTGCTGGTGGGTCCTTCCCTACCACCTGGAGCTGTGGTTGGGAGGGGTCCTGTGGGCAGCAGAATGAGGCTCAGTTTGCTCTTTACATCTTCTTGTCACCAGTTTACCTGTGTCTCTATATAACCACTTCCACACCCACCTCCGGGAAACTGCAAGGATGTTTTCTGTACAGGGTTTGAGCTCCTTGTAAAACAGTCCCAGCTCACATTAATTGAACCCAACGCTAGCTCTGAGACGTTGCTGGCCTCCTCCAGGTTTTCCAGGTCATGTAGCCTTGTCTTCCTCTCTGCATCACACTCCTTCCTCAAGCAGGCAGAGAGTGTTCAGCTCGGAGGTCTCACAGGTGGCTGGCTGGTCAAGCTGCTTTTGCATAGGAGGACCTGGGGGGCAGGAGGGGCAGAAGGCCTGCCCAAGGCCACAGGAGGAGGCTCAGAGTGAGGCAGAGAGCCCCGCTCTCTGGAAACCCCAAGGATGGAAGTGACAAAACCACGGCAGAGCGAACCGTTCTAAAAGCAGGCATCAGGGATCAAAAGGCACGGCCATTTGGGGACTTCCCTGGTGGTCCACGGGTTAGGACTCTGCGCTTTCACTGCTGAGGGTGCAGGTACAATCCCTGGTCAGGGAACTAAGATCCTGCAAGTTGCACAGTGCAGCCAAAAAAAAAAAAAAAAAGCACAGCCATTGGGAAACGTACCTGTTGGAGGACAGAACTGCACAGACAGCAGCAGGTACAGGCTGTGGAATTTTGGAGTCAGATGGGCCAGGGTGTGAATCCCACAGCTCACCCTCTGATTCACTGTGTGATGGCGGGCATTGTGCCTTGCTTCTCTGAGCCTCTGTTTTCTCATCTGTGATACAGGGGTGAGGGCTTCCCAGGGGGCTCAAGGTAAAGAATCTGCCTGCCAATGCAGGAGCCATGCGTTTGATCCCTGGGTTGAGAAGATCCCCTGGAGGAGGAAACGGCAACCCACTCTAGTATTCTTGCCTGGAAAATTCCATGGATAGAGGAGCCTGGCAAGTCACAGTCCAGGGGCTCATAAAGAGTCGGACATGACTGAGCGCAAAGATGGGGAGAATATGGCTGCCTTGCAGACTGATTATGTGCATTCAATAGAATAATAAAATCTCAGGCACACCCGGTGCTGTGTTTAGCACATTGTAGATTTTACATTTTCTATCTGAAGGTTTCCATGTGTTACACACAGTACTACTGGTTCTCTTAGTGTCGTTGAGTAGATCACATTAGATATTTGTTTTATTGAGGTGAGCAGGGAGAAGGGACATATGTGTGCGTTTTAAAAGATTTCCATCCAAAGAGGGATACATCTTAGAGAAGGAGCCTCGGGATGCTGAAACAGGCAGCTTTCAGGGCTAACTGGCCCTGCAGCTGGGGTGAAACCCTTCTCTGATCAGAAGGGGACGGATGAAATAGCAATGTATTATTAGCCAACTTTACGGGAACAGGAGGAGGCCTTGTTCTTCCAGCCATCACCCAGTGAGAACCAATCTGCACAGCCTGGACGAGCACTGAGTCTCCTCCTGGGTGCGCTGGAAGAAAGCGTGCTGTGTCTCCAGAACGCAGGCAGCTCAGGAGGTGTTAACTGCTCAGAAAGAGCAGCTGAGTCCCCTCCCCAGAAGATGGCTTTCTCCTGAGTGGTCTTCCTCCACTCCTGTGTGATGTGGACACTCCTGCTCCACATGTGGACACAGGGCCCCTTGGGATGGCGCCCAGCCAGAGCAGGAAGTCAGCCTTGGGAGCAAATGCCTCTGGAGTCAAGTGTCTTCTCCACATCCCGCTCAAGGGGGGTCAGGTATCACTGGAAGCAGTGAACTCGGTTATTCTGAGCTAAGACACTTCCCTGCCCGTGAGGTGAAGGGCAGGGGTCCCGAACTGGTGTCCAGAGCCCCAGGTGGAAATTAAAGCTGCAAGGGCCCATAATACTCCTTTAATTCAATCCAACAAGCACCCACTTAGCCCACCTTTCCATTATGCACAATGTCAAACATACGAGAAGACAAAGCATGGTATTGAAGACCCAGGGTAACACTGCAGTTGGATTGGATGTCAAAGCCGTGCTACAAACCACCTCACTAACTACACAAGAGGAGTTTAGGGAATGGCTGGTTCCAGAATTATGACAGAAGTTTGTGAAGTCCATCAGAGCAAACTTCCTGAAAATATCAAGCCTCAGTCTGTTGGTGAAAGGATGTGCATGTGTACTCAGTCGCTCAGTCATGTCCAACTCTGCGACCCCATGGACTGGCACCTATCCGGCTCCTCTATGCATGAGGTTCTCCAGGCAAGAACACTGGAGTGGGGTGCCATTTCATCCTCCAGGGGATCTTCTTGACTCAGGGATCAAACCTGCGTCTCTCGCATTAGTGATTCTTTACCACTGAGCCACCAATAGCTGCTGCTAAAAGGGGACCAGGTAAAGAGAGGATTCCATACACGCTGAAAGCCAGAGGAGAAGACCAAAGATGAGAGAGAAGGCTTGAGAGACAGTCCCTGGCAAAGAAGATATGAGCCCTGTACCTGAGGTGGGGCAGCCGCAGCCGCTGTCACAAGTCTGCATGTGATTCAGAAGATTGATGGGCACTTGTGGTTGGCAGCCTGGAGCAACATGATGGAAGCAGGGAAGAATGCTTTGAGAGGGACAGGAGAAGACAGGCATACCAAGGGAAAGGAGGTTATAAAGAGAAAGCATGACCCAGGGCTTTGCCAGGGGATCTGGGGATAGAAACGAAGAGTGGCACACATGGTCTGAACAATGCCGTCGAGAAGGCGGCATGAAAACTAGTCCACCTGGTGCACATGGGTGTGGAAGGTAAAGATCAAAGGTCACCAGGAGGTCACCTCTGGAAGGAAATGGAGAATAAATGGCTCCATGATAATAGAGAACTTGGAAGAAAAGTGGTCAGTCTGAGCCATGGTAGGTGATTAATTTAAGTCTTAAATTGAACCCTTAAATTGAAGGATAACACTGACTTTTCATTTAAAGTTGTGTTGCATTTCTCAATAGAAAGGACCCAAATAAACAAAATAAGAAATGAAAGAGGTGAAAAAAACCAATCCTGCAGAAATACAAAGATGCCATACAGAATATACTGAGCAAAGATATCCCCACAAACTAGACAACCTAGAAATGGATACGGTTCTAGAAATTTACAGCCTGTAAAGCTGAATCAAGAAGAAATTGAACAGACCCATCACTGGAGGGGAAATAGGATCTGTAATTTAAAAAACTGCCTGAGAAAACAACAACAAAACTCACTGCAAACCAAAGTTTAGGAATGAGCAGTTTCACTGGGGAATTCCACCAAACATACAAAGAATAATGTACATCCATCCT